AATGTACCATATGAAAATTCAAATTGCTACTCTTACTTGCAGACCTTCCATTTTCCTTATCTAATATTTGCATGGAGATTGAACAGCTACCTTGCTGAAAAGTTGTTTTGTGTGTATAGAGTAACAGTGATCAAAACCTCCAAGGATTCTTATGAAGCTCATCCTTCTTAATCCATAATAACATTTTAACGGCAAAATGGAACTATATAGTTAAAAAAATGATTGATATACCTTTTGATTCAACACACTTAGTAATACCCTCCGATTCAATTATTAAAATTTGTCTTTAAAAGTTTTCCCACCTTAAATTCAAATTTAAAAATATTAGTTTCTTGTAAAAAGAAGTGCAAATACATCACAACAATACACCAAAACAGATTCCCTTGCAAGAAATTGCACATCAAAAGCAAGATATTTAAACTTTTAATAGTTCCAAAAAAGAGAAAGTTCTTCTTATAGGCCTTGGGTTTTGATTGTTCTTTCAATTGTTCTTTCTATGAAAATATATGTAAGCATCATCAAATCAAATAAGATTATGAAGAGAAATCATATTTGGAATTGAATCTATTAAATCCCAAATCTAATTGCTTGGCACCGAGTGCTTTTTTCATCTCATCGTGTTCATGTTGTTTTTGATTTCCCTTAATTTTTTGCTTGGTAAAATTGATCACAGATTTTCATATAAAAGCTAGTAAATAAAATTTATAATGAGAGTAGCATAAATTCCTAACTCTTTATACCTAACTCACTACACACACAGAGGAAGAATTCATTCAGGAGGAAATTAAATTTACAAACTAAATTAAATTTTTGTTGGATGCGAAACACCAATTATGTAAAAAATCCTCATCCTGATATTAAACATAATCTTAAACCAACTACTAGTTCCAGTATGTATTCCTAGTAATAAAACCAACTACAACTCACACAGGCCACATGCGGAACAGTTGGTGTGCATGAGAAAGGGGCCACCTGCATTCCTCTGAATGAGAATTCCCTCTGCTTGGACATCAATGATCCAAATGGAGATGGAAGCTTGCTTCAGAACCCACTCCGCTGAAATGAATGAGATTGCTGACGCCAGTGGGATTCTTCAACTTGGATTTGATAGCAGAAGAATAGTGAAGGCATCCCTTGTGTAAATTTCCTCTTCTCCATCCTTTTGGTTTGGTATAAGCCTTAAATTAGAGTCACAAACCATGAAATCAAGCACAAAATCTTCATCGCCCATGGCAGAAACTATGTTATGTAAATCAAAAAAGAAGATAAAAACAATTGAGAACCAACCCAGCAAATTCTGAGTGGAAATAACAACTCCTTATCTGTTATTTTCAGAAAGCAAACCCAACAAATCAGGGGCACAAACCTAAGTAGGAAATCGTTCGCGGAAGTAGAAATTGATCGAGCCATCGTGGGGTAGTTTCTTGCAGTTTTTTTATAGCATAAGAACGTAGAACAACAAAAGCATATACCATCAAAACATCTTTGATGTTTGCTGTTTCGGGCCACCTAAGCCCGTTAAGGCTACATTGGAAGCGCTATTAACGATAAGAATTGATGTTTGATAGCCTTTAAAACTAGAATAATGCTTCCGTCTCTCGTAGAAGGCCCAATAAATAGGGCCTTCTCACAAAGCTTTGGGTGACACCTTGGTATCCACTAATCAATACAACAAACAGTTACAATCCTCTTCTTCTCAATTTTTAGGTTTTTTTTAAAGAATTTTGATGATTGCAACCTTAAAATTCTCGTGTTGGGCTTCGTTCCAGTTCTGTGAAGCCACCTGCATTATATATTGAAAATCGATTATCCTTTAAATAGCTTCTTGGAAATTCCTTGGCCTTGCCCATAATTTCAATTTCTTCTATTTTCTACATCTTTGGCTTTGCTCACATACAACAAAAACAGCCTATACCATTGGTCTCTGCCT